AAATGTGCTTTGAGTGACAAGAGCTTTGATTAATTGCGGTGAGTAAAAGAGAAAAATGTAAATGAATAAAATGAGTGTAACGTCCTCGGTAAAACGTATAATTACGCGCGATTCGAACAATAGAGAAAATGATAACATATAGTTAAACACATGTACATGATTTTTTTTCCATTAAATATAATAGAGCTTGTACATAGTGCTGTTTAAGAGTGGATGTTTTTATTATTTTTTTTTCGACTCACACAATGCAATCGTATCTGTTTAAATACTATTTGGTAATTAAGACCCCCGGGGTGTTTTTATTTTTTATTTATTTTTTTACATTGTATCGAAATAGCCGCCACATTAGTGATAATGATCTCTTGACTACACGATGAGTGGAAATCGTCGACCGCCGTATTTTTATTATTATTACATTGTTGTTATTATAATATACATAATATGCGTTACTTGTGAACAACGACGTCAATATTATTGCTCCCGAAAATTTCAAGTGGTTCGGTATACAACAAAAGTGGCAAATTCTTTTTATGTTTTGTACCAAAAATTATATAATTTTATTTTTCTTCTTCCATTAGATTATCCAAAATATTGTATATATATATACAATTATTCATTTAAATTATATTAATTATACTTATTACGTAAAGAAAATGAAGATTTAATTAAAGAATTAAATATTTATTAATTTTCTAGTTGTGATTGTTGAACACTTGATATCAATTCATTTATGATCGGCTTAGACTATATGTTAAATAAAGTACATGCTACACCATTGCATTCATCCTCGAGGTTAGTAGATTTCTTAAATATTAAAAAAAAATGAGTTTCCGAAGAGAGTAACACAAATGAGTAATTTAAGTAAATTGACAAAATAGTAGCCACTAATGCTACAATCTTTAAAAGCGGTAAGTTGAGGACTTTTATAGTAAGTAGATTGTTATACACAATTTAATATTTCAATTTTTTGCGTGCTATTCAATCGTAATTATATCAATAAACACTACCTATTGTCACTATATGTATATGATTGAAAATGTATGTGCGCGCGAGAGATACTGCTGTATGTGATATTGATATTGTGCGCACATAGTATATATATATTGTAAGCGATACATTTTGGTAAAATGTGCCGTGTTTCGTTGCCATTATCGTTATATTTATTGGATAAGTGCACAAGGAGTACATGCCTGCACCGTTAAAGACGGAATTTTTTTTTGTACGGATTCTTATTGCTAGAAAAAACTAATATCGCGCTCTCGTAAAATGACAAATACTTCACTTGCAACGTATTTGCACTGCACCCTTTTATTCGGAAGATTAGTTAAAAACTATATTCATACGTTGCCCGGAGAACCGAGCGTTATCCAGGAGGTGTATATTTTTCGCACGATAAAAACTGCAGTGCCATGGTGTGCAAACGCATTGGTCGTGAAAACAAAACGATACATAGCAATGTATACACCGAGTCGTAAACGCGCCATAGCGGATACAAGGAGTGTTTAAACTGCAGAACAGCGCCGTACAGATGTTTAGACGACGTTATACGGTGCTCAATAACTGCGCAAGTACGTACCTATCATACGCGTGTAATAATAAAATACTACATAAACTGTGCTAAAAATATACACAATCGTTTAGCGTTCGCGTGCAGCTGTCCGTCGACGAAAAACGTTTGCGCCACAACGATACACAATCCGCTCAATCGAAATCGATTACATGTATACACGATAAAATAATAATAACAATAATAATTATAATAATAATTGCTGTGCACCGCTTTAAATAACGCGACGTCATTGTTTATTCACGGGTGTACAGCGTACGTTACCCACACGCGGCCGGTGTTGTACGACGTAGTAGTATAGAAAACAATAAATTAAAAACGCGCCGGCCCGGTCGAAAAATGATTAATGTTTTACGATTTGTTTGTTAACAGTTTTCAATATTTTAATAATATTTCGTCGAACCACGGTGTTCTTATCGTCACTGGCTCGAAAACGAGCACACGCATCACGTTTTCGTCGTCCGGCAATAATTATTGTACTCACATTTTTCTTCTAACTTACGCGTGTAGCGCAACACGCACGGTTTAACGTTAACATCGACATATTATTGTGTTTACGAACGTGTCGGGTGTACATTTCATTCTGTCGGGTTTTCGATTCCGTCGAGACCACGACGAGAATTTTTGCGTTTTAGTACACATTTCATCATCGTACAACTAATAGTAAAATCACTGTACCGATTCGGAGTGGGATTGAAAAAAAATATATCGTCCCCTCCATTCCTCCTAAACATTCGTCGACATGAGGTCTAATCGAAGATTTGTCAACGAGCAATTTTTTTTTCTTTTTCTCCACCGCGTAAGTTATGGTGAAAATACGTTTTTGGATTTCACATTGTTATTTCATGGAATTTTTTCGTACCCCCTACGCATGCAAAGTTCATCCTAATCGTGAAAATAAAGAACACCATGACGCGCATTCAATTTGCTAGCATGTAAACTGATTTAAATATTCGTTATGAACCGCAGTACTTTATAATAATAATAACTATTCAAACGTTGAATTGAACAAGTTCAGCAGGTTTGAATAAACTTAAGAAACTGCATACATCGCTGTTGGCTTGTTTTGAGAGCTCATTAAATTTTCAACACCGTCCATCTATTTCATCATGTTTGCATAAATTACTAATGAATATGTCAAATTTCCCTGTGTCATGAATTATAATGTCCCGTTTCGTTTCTCGGTAGCGATTACGACGATTGCTGTAATCTGCATAATAGTAAATGTATACATACACGACATAAATGTATACGTATACACTGAAGTTAATTTAACTTTATTTATAGTCGAATCAAATTTAAATAAAAGTATGCGGTAATGCATATGACTGCAGATGTTGTAGTGTGAGGGTCAACGAATCGTTGTTATAATAGTTGATCAATCGTAGTTTATGGTCTACTGTTAAATCGCAAACGTGTCATTCAGACGTTTGATTGAAAAGAAGGTTATCGATGGTATTACTACCTAGACATATTGTTTTCAACGCTAATACTAATTTTGATCTCTTTGAAAAAAATCATTTTTCTCCGTTAAGTCGGGTGGAGTCATTGATTTCTCCTATTCCTTTGACTTCCAAAGATTTTTTCACGATAGATTTATAATTATTATATTCTCTGTAACAAGATAAACTATAACTGTACGAACAAATATTTCAATAGCAATAAAAAAAAATGTCTTACCGACGTATTTATTTTCTAAAAACGTAAGCAGAATCTTCTATTTGTTGTAATAATTAACTATGTAGTTAATTTAGTGAAATAATCTGTTGAATTACGTCATTAATTTCCAACGGGAATATTAATTAAAAGGCTACGGGGAAAACAATAATAATAAAAAAAAGAAAAAAAATCAAGTAATTATATCGTCTTGTTATTTGTTTTAAAAAGTAAATTTAATTTTTTTTTTTTATTTATTTTATCAAAAATTACCAATACAAATTTTTTAAATTGTTTCGTACTTTATCTCATAGTTTTTTTTTTTAATTCTGAAACTTTAAAACAACAATACTAAACAGTTTAGGAATATTTACTATTATCGGTTTCCCCGTAGCCCTTTAATTATTATTAATATTTTAACGAAATATTAAAAAAATAACCGTTTTTATTTGATGCACGATTTAAGTGAAAAATTACACTTGTCGGAGGACTGTATAATATAAAAACAAGTACTAGAAAATTGGTTGTACAACGCTACACGATCCGGACTCGTATGCACTAACGTAGCTTAGTAGTATTTGTATCATACGAAAATGATCGATATGCCGAATCGAATTAGATCAATAAGCCGTGAAAGTCGTTTACGTATTGAAATTCCGTCGGAACGGGAAAAAAATAAAAAAATAAACGTTTGGAAAACTCATATAAGACTCTCTTCGACTCGCTACTGCACGCGGTCAGCGCCACGTGGGTTGGGACGTATACAACACGAGTGGAAGTTTACACAAGCGCGAGCGTACGCGTAAACACACGCGCACGTATTTTACACGGACCAATAACGCTCCGGATATTCGCTGGCAACTAAATCCGTCGACGACGACGGCGACGAGACGGGGAGTTGTAGTCTCCCGCGGCCCGTGTCGTTTGTTCATAATTTATTTGTTTATTATTTTTTACGTGTATACCGTACGGCGTGCGATCAGCGCCACCGCGTGAAAAAATATAATTGAGTGATGGTTCGCAGGCACACTCGGAGCCGTGGTATTTTTACGCGAGTTGTTCCGTTGCCTCCCGCGCTCCCTCTCGTTAATCGGTTTAAATGCCGCAACGCGTTCGCGTACTTCTGCAGCGCGGAAACGTATCACCCGACGAAAATTCCGAACGCCGGACGCGCGCGCCCGTCCTGACGCGATCGACCGATCGATCGTCGGAGCAGCACCGGGTATTTATACGCATAAAATATTTACGGACGGACGGCGAGAGCATTGTGTTTTTTAAACACATATCGAAAACATAATATTATTTTCCGGAATAGAAAAACCATCTGCGCCGTCGTTCACCTCTCACCGTCACCACCCGGACGGCCCAACGAGCCCGAGGCTCCTCACGCGCACGCACACACGCTGTGGTCCGTGCATACGTACGGCACAGACTCTCGTCGAAGTAGTACCCCCCCCTACCCCCCTCCGGCGGCGGCCACCGGTCCTAACAACAATGCGAGCGTACACACGATAGTAATATAATACACGCACACACACACGTGCACGCACTCGCGAGAGGTTCTGACCGTTTTCATGCGGCGGCGGCGGACTCGTTCCCCGACCGATTTCGAATCGCCTCGTTAACCGGGTGAAATAATAATAATAATAATAATAATAATAATATCGGCCGCTTGTAAATACGGACGACGTAGACGCGCGCACACGCGCAGGCACACCCGTTGTACACACGACCGGCGGTAGTAGTAGCGGTGGTGGTGGTGGTGGTGGTGTGTACGAGTCCGCACCGTCAGTCGTCCGTCGTCTTCCGTGCCGCGCGATCGCATCTCGTGTCCCGACGGTCATTCGATCGTTACGATCCGATTGTCGTTTGTAATTTTTTTTTTTTTTTAATTTTCCCGCGCGCGTTGTTCCGTACCGTTGCCGATTGTTGAACCCGTTGTCCGTGCCGTACCCTCGTCGCGCGCATCCGAACGTCGTCTTACCGGAATGGATCCGATCGCGTCCCGTCGCAGGATCGCCCCGGCTCGGGGTACCGTGATCGCGTGAACCGTTGCGCGCGCGAATAACATGACGCAAGACGATAGCACCGCGGTTGCGAGATTCGCGTACAACGATCACGACGACGAACTACTACTGCTACGCGATTTCTGCGCTTGCGACACGATCGCGTGAAAAACCCGTCGACTTTGGCGCTGCCTGTCACCGCCGCCGATCCACGTTGGACGACCAAAGAACGGTAAAAACACTTTACAGCTCCTCCAAAGCGCCTACTTCGTCTCCTCGAAATCGTTATTTTAATCAATGATTTTTTTTTTTTTTTTGTACTCTATGGCTTTGACGAGGGGATTTTTTTCGGGTTCTCGGCGCACACCGGGAAACCGGTTTACGTGTTCCGTCGCTAACGTTTTCCAATCGAATCTACGCAACGCAACGGTCGCGTAGGCGGAAAAACCAACGGGGCGAGCACGTATGAACGACGGACTGGGCGAATAAAACGCGCGTACGTCTTTTCTTTTTTTTTTTTACATAATATCGCGCTGATGAGAACGGTCGAGCAATAACTTAATATCATCGTATTCGAATTGATTTTTTATGAAAAAAAAAACCATTCGATTTGCAACCGCATTGGAATAATTAGCAGAAACTAGGGGGAAAATGAGATTAAATGTTGATACGCTCTTCAAAGCTCATTTAACATTTTAGCGCTCATTTCGTGCACAAATGTATACTCGTATATATATTTTTATGACACTTATTCGAATTATTTATCTCTAAACAGATGACGTTTTTTGACATCGATTAATGTTATCATCGTTGACAGCACTGATATGGATCGAGTAGAAATCTCAAAACTGTATTTAAAATTATTCATTTAAAAACGCATCACCATGATGATTTTGAAAATCGATTAAAATACGATTGAAATACGCATTAGCTATGACGAAAACAATGCAATTCTATAGAATAATAATATGTCATTAATATTGTTTTGACTGATTATATAATTAGTAGAAATGTTCAAATTAAAGGTTAAATAATGATATTTAAATCAGTATTATTCGAATTCAATAGTATTTATAAAAAAACATATGAAATTCGTAGAAAACAATATCATAGTCATAGGCGTGCACAGACTTTGTCCGAAGGAGGGCCCCTTAAAAATAGTGAACCAAAGATTCTTGTATTAAAAACTACTAGTATAATTAAATATTTTAAATTTTATAAATTATTTATTTAATTCGATAGGTAAATATAAAAATAAATACTATTTAAACTTACACAATTTATACCTAAGAAATCCTTATTTACATATTATTATACTATTTACAACTCCATCCTTCTGTCCACGGTAGTAAGGTTTTTTAATGTATCAATTACATCTTCAATTTTTATATTATCTGTAAGTTTAATCCTTCGCAGACGGTGACATGCGATATTTGCGGTGGAATGGTAGTGGTGGAGGAACGTTTTCGCACGCGGCACGCACTAGTATCGCCGCACCGTCGCGGGCGCAACCGATTCAGAACGTGTGTTATATTTTACAAAAACTATGTACTTTTTGGTCATCCTACTGATTGACCTACATATGCGAAAATAGTTCTGAAAACAAATTTGAATTTGTTATTATGTCTACTTGAAATCGGTCAGTCCACATTTTAAGAATTCTGATTTTAATTCTGAATAATTAACTTTTCAAAATTCAAAAATTTCAAAATATTCAAATTAAATTATAGTTTTTAGAGGGGGTAAAATTGAGAAAAGTGGACTGACCGATCTCAAGTAGACACAATAACGAATTCAAATCAGTTTTCAAAAATATTTTCGCATTATTAGGTCGATCGGTAGGATGGTCAAAAGATGGGTATGTTTTGACTAAAATAACTGTATGTTACCGATCCCCTTAAAGAAAAAGCCAGAGTCCGTAGCCCCCCCCCCCATGCGCACGCTTATGATTATAATCAGGAGATTTCACGGCTATAGGCACTAAGTGTTTGCCGTCCCCATTATTAAATTAAACAGTAAATTACTATTCCAATTCGTTAAAATTTTTAGGCACCTTACTTTTCTTGTATTTAGTTACTTGGTCTACTTTGGAAAAACAACAATGAATGTCCACCAAATTTTGACGAGAACTTACAATGATAATTTTCATGGACCATCATTATTAAAACTATTGTTTAGACATTTAAGTAAACATTACATTGTTTTTCGTAAATATAGAATAGAAATCTCTTTCTAATTTTTTTTTTTTGTTTTGTTTTTTGTACGAATGTACTAATTAGTACATTTGCCGCCCTAGGCCACTGCCTGCTGTGCCTGTTGGTAAATCCACCTCTAATCAAAATAATATCCGGCATAAGTCTGCAGTACCCACCTAGGAATAATTCTTTTGAGAAAAAGTCTAAACATTTTTCATGTTAAACCCTTAAACAGTTTCAATTGATTGTATATTTTTTTATTCCTTATTGTGTACCATAATATTTACATTGTTTAATGGCTTGTTAAAATGTAATATAGAAATCTCTCTCGGTTTCCTTACTTTTAAAAGATATTATGAATAACAAATATATTTTAAAAGTATTAAGGTTATTATAAATAACAAATACCCTGAAGCTATCGAAACGGATTGTATTGGAATACAATTAATAACATTTAATTCGCAAACGTTTGAAAGAAACGAAACACAATACCGGTTATTATTTTACATATAGAACCGAACGAAAATGTTTACTTATCAAACGATGAAGCGATCACTAATTGACCTCGAGTAAATCGCCTAGAGTTCAGTGGCGAACGGAATGCGTACAAAGAGTCAATTAATTTATTACCTCTACTTGAATTACTATATTCACTTTCCGTTTCAGAACAAACGTTTATTAAACAATGATAAACGCAACACAAATACGCAGGAGGTATATATATGGTATAGCGTCACAAATCCGTAAGCCCGTCAACGGCGTTGGTAATAATCGTCTCGCGTGCTACAATGTAATACCGTTATCATTATACTTGTAAACGATTGTAATAATAATGATTTGTATTGCTTGCGTTGGACCGGTATACCACGTACGTGTACGATATTATCGCGATCTGTTGGTTTTTCACGCTTTCGATCGCAATAATTATTATTCCGCAACAGTCGCGCGCATCGAAATCGTTTACTATAATTAAACCATATCGTCTGTGCTAGATGGTCCGTTACTATTCGCGTGTTCTTCCCTCCGACGAACAAGGAAAACGCCATTCCGATAATATTAATAAATCACTCGTCGCGTTCGTCATCCACCGATCCGTTCGGATCGAATCCGTGAACAATAACTGCGCGGTGGATGTTATGCGAGTGTATAATATTTGTCCGCAAGTTACGTTTAATCATCGCTGAATGATAAACATTAATATTGTTCTCGCTGTTGCATTCTAATATCGTTTGCACACTTCGAAGGGACACAATACGGTCAAGCATTCGTAAGAAAAAATTAAACGACCAAACATTTTGTATTTTTCAACTCTCGTGACCGTGTTTGCCGCAAAACTAAGCCCGTCAAACGGTTATTTTATGATATTAATATATTCGTGTTACTTATGCGATACTTTGTAATGTGGTATTCAAGTCCTTGGTCTAACAGACGAAATTCAAAAACATTATGACAAAAATTTGTATTCGGAATATAACGCCCGTGGTATAATGTAACATAATTGTCGAGCTATAATAGTTTTTAACTGAAAGCTCATAAATAAAACAAAAAAAATATTAATAAAATTCCTTAGTATCGTAATAACCATATATACGAGTATATATATTATTACATTTATGGTTATACGATTATTCTTAAACCCTTTTTGATAATACCACAGGAACGTGCAGGTCTCGTCCGATACCCGCACGATTTTATAATGTGATAACACTGTCAAATTACGTGTCGTTAGGATTTTTCAAAGCCCTTGTGTCAATCTTCACTTCCTGTTTTCGATTCGAATAACTACCAAGACAACCATAATATTTTATTTTTAATGTTTTCCTTTATGATTTGTCGCCCGTAAACAGTGTTTAACTTTAGTGGTCTCGGTGATGTTGTTTTTTCCCCCACTGAATAAACATAATAAGTACTTTTGATGAAATCGTTGTCTTTTTTTTTACAATACAATACGCTGAGGAATTAATTAAATATGTTTTTGTTGACGATCGTTGACGAGGTGGAGGGTGCACGCTGAATGATTTTTTTTTTGCGTTATTCGACGTTCGTATCAAACGAATAATAAAATATTATTATTGAATAATAACCGGGTGCGCGTTGTATTTGGTACCGTATTAATAATTAAAGTAAAATCCATTATTCAAAAGGTTCGACTATACTTATGTAATGTATTCTTGTCGACGGTACGAAAAAAGTGTTTGCAATCAACTTTAATTTTTTATTTACATTTTTTGCTCTCGCTGTATACCTTACAAGATACGCCTCTTGAACAACACGTGTATTACTACAACACGAGAGTAGGAAAAATTGTATTATTATGTGCATTTGAATGCATAACAGCTATATTGTGTGCAATACTATTTTGTATTTAGATGAAGTTCTTGAACGCCTTTGAGATTACTACTTTTTCTATTATTACATTGATAAAGAGCAAGTGAACGGTTTTACAGTATCAACAGATAATATTTTTATGTTAAAGCTCGTAAAAATATACTACACTTTGTTGTACAGTAGAACATCGTACAAGAACTAATTAATGTTTTCACATGATTTTCGAGCTAGAAAAAAAAATATTTATTTCCTTTTCCATAAAAATATAGTATTATCATTATTACACGTACGCTATTATTTTTAAATGTACATACTTGAACGTAGAGGTGTTTTTCGAAAGCTAAAAGATGTATTATGAAAAATGTGAATAGTTCGTAGCGCGGATGAAGTGATAGATAAATGTACGTGTACAGAAGACGAAAATCACACGAGCTTCTGTATACGTAAAATAGGATCATGTGTTTGTAGATGATATAAGTGTTTCTGGACCGAGGCGTTTGTTTTCGGGCAAGAATTTACCTATATGTGCGCGGTGGTCGTACTGGTGAGAGAGGACAGGAGGATAATTACGTATTCATTCTATCTATGCGGGCTAACACCTTGTTAAGCGTCCGCCGATTGTGTTCTCTTATACTTATGACAATTTACAAATACACACTAATAACTCAAACACAATCACTGATGTTGGAATGAAGAAAAGGAGAGATAG